TAGATAGATAGATAGATAGATATAAACAAAATTAGATAGATATAAACAAAGTTGTATAGATATAATGATAGATGTATATACACAAAGATATATCAATAGATGTAAACATACCAAGATAGATAGATAGATAGATAGATAGATAGAATCAAAGATAGATATATACAAAGATATATATATATAAACAAAGATAGATAGATCAATAGATATAAACAAATGAAGATAGATAGATAGATAGATAGACAGATAGATAGATAGATAGAAACAAAGTTAGATATAAACAAATATGTATAGATATAATCATAGATAGATGAATATAAATATACATAGATCAATATATATGTATCTGGATAATGCAAGCCTTCAAAATGAACGTCAGAAGTTTTCTTTATGAATTAACGTCTAATAACAAGTGTCACTAATCTTTCAAGGGAGATAAAACAATGATTGTCTTTTGTATTTCCTGTCATTAGAACAAAAAATTCCTTAAAATATATTTTTCAAGGTGCTGTATTTTATAACTCTTGAAGGCAATATAGATCCCTTGAGAAGAAAAAGTGTAAACAAGTAGATATAGATGTACAGAATAAGATAGATACATCCATCTATCTATCTATCTATCTATCTATCTATCTATCTATCTATCTATCTATGTGTCAAAATCCAATAAATAGATAAGAACACAGTGAGATAGATATAAACAGATCAAGATAGATAGATAGATAGATAGATAGATAGATAGATAGATAGATAGATAGATATGAAGAAAGAAAGAAAGACAGGTAGAGATGAACAGACTGAGATAGAAAATATGTATATATAAGTGCATATGCATTATTCTCTATATACTAATATATATAAATACATATAAATATTCATATAAATATATACATACATATAGAGATAGATAGATAAGAACAGACTGAGAACAGATAGATAGATAGATAGAAACAAATAGAGAGATAGATATAAAGAAAAAAAGAAAGATAGATATGTACAGACTGAGATAGACAATATATATATGTGTATGTGTGTGTATATATATAAATGTATATAAATACATATAAATATTCAAAGATAGATAGATAGATAGATAGATAACAGACTGAGGATAACTAGCTAGCAACATAGATAGATAGATAGATAGATAGATAGATAGATAGATAGATAGATAGATAGATAGATAAACAGACTGAGGATAACTAGTGAGCAACATAGATAGATAGATAGATAGATAGATAGACTGAGGATAACTAGTGAGCAACATATAGATAGATAGATAGATAGATAGATAGATAGATAGATAAGAACACGATGAGAATAAATAGATTGACAGAAATGAATGAACATAGAATTATAAGAACCTCCTGAGATGGATAGATATAAAGAGACTGCAATAGATAAATAGATAAGAAGAGACATAGATAGATAGATAGATAGATAGATAGATAGATAGATAGATAGATAGATAGATAGATAACAACATACTAAGGATAGATAGATAGATAGATAGATAGATAGATAGATAGATAGATAGATAGATAGATGGATAACAACATACTAAGGATAGATAGATAGATAGATAGATAGATAGATAACAACATACTAAGGATAGATAGATAGATAGATAGATAGATAGATAGATGGATAGATAACAACATACTAAGGATAGATAGATGATAGATAGATAGATAGATAGATAGATAGATAACAACATACTAAGGATAGATAGATAGATAGATAGATAGGATAACAAATATACTAAGGATAGATAGATAGATAGATAGATAGATAACAAATATACTAAGGATAGATAGATAGATAGATAGATAGATAGATAGATAATAAATAAACATACTAAGGATAGATAGATAGATAGATAGATAGATAGATAGATAGAAGATAACATACTAAGCATAGATAGATAGATAGATAGATAGATAACAACATATTAAGGATAGATAGATAGATAGATAGATAGATAGATAGATAGATAGATAACAACATACTAAGGATAGATAGATAGATAGATAGATAGATAGATAGATAGATAGATAACAACATACTAAGGATAGATAGATAGATAGATAGATAGATAACAACATACTAAGGATAGATAGATAGATAGATAGATAGATAGATAGATAACAACATACTAAGGATAGATAGATAGATAGATAGATAGATAGATAGATAGATAGATAGATAAGAATGTAGTGGGAGTGATAGATAAGAACATACTTAGATATATAAGAAGAGATTGTATGTAATCTCAATTCCTCGAGAAGGAAAACTATTTGAATAAACGTTCTCTTGCTTTTTATTCTTTCTTCTGTTTCGTTTGTTTATAAATGTGGTCTCCCTTGGATTTTTTTCAAAATATTTCTGCCCCTTTTCTATGCCTATCAGATTTACTTAGAGGAAATTCTCTATCATAAAGGATTATGGCACAATCTATCTAGCCTTGGAACCACGGGAAGAATCTTCCACTTGTAACATCCTTCCTAATGGGTAGGTCCTTGAATGTAACTGTTAATATATATATATATTGACTTTCCTGATGATCCGTTTAGGTGAAACCTAAATAGGTTTGTCTGGCTCACTAGGTGTATCTATATATATATATATATATATATATATATATATATATATATATATATATATATATAAATTAATTGATTTAAAATATGTTTTTTTTTCGCTACACAGTTCCAACCATGTTTTCAAAAATAGAAGCTAAAAAACCCGAATTTAATTTGGCAATTAAATTAAAAGCATTAGTTCCATTTCATCTTCAAGCGAATTTTCTATCTATAAGAACACCGGATTTTATATCTTACTGTTCTTTTTTTTTATTTATATATATATATATATATATATATATATATATATATATATATTGTTGTAACCTAGGAAAACGTTACTGAATAAGAATAACCAAAACAAAGGTTGAAAATGAATGATAGTATTTATTACAGAAACAACCCCCTGTACTGCACCAGGAAATTTTTCTCGCCAGAGTCAATCCTTCAAATCTACAAGTCAACCATTTGCCCTTGCATGGAGTATTCCTGCCATATATGGTCTGGAGCCCCTTCTATTTGTCTCAAGGTTCTTGATAAGATCCAGAGATGGATATGCAATGTAATTGGCCCTGATCTGGCATCTCTTCTGCAGTCGCTCTCTCACAGACATGCCCTCACCTCCCTCTGTCTTTTTTACAAATACTTTCATGGTAACTGCTCCGATGAGCTGCTTTCGCTGGTTCCCAGACTTCATGAATTTAAGCGTTCAACTAGGCTTGCATCTTGCTCTAACCCTTTCACTGTTGAAACTGTTAAATATAGCCGTCTCTTCTACTCCAACAGCTTCATGTCTCGCACTTCTTGCCTGAAGAACTCCCTCCCTGATAGCTATAATCTCCAAGTATTCAAATGTAATGTCAACCGATGTCTCCAGATGCCCTGATCTATCCCCTAACCTTCTCTTCATCCTTTCCTCTATCACTCCTATTTGCTCTTGCTCCAACTCTCTGTAACCCCTTGTGTGCTAGTGGCTTCCTGCCTTGCTTGGGGTGAAACGCTTTAAAAAAAACATACAAAATTTGTCATCAGTGTCTAGTTAGTAATCAACTGCTAGAAGTGAACAAGGTGAATTGCAAATGAAATCCCACAGTGAAGATATTCACTAACCTCACCATGCAGACAGATATGGCATAAAGCTGAATTTAATGTGGGGTGAACTGATCCCATAGGCTCTAGCAAAAAAATTCCCCGTAGGCCCCATAAAAACGGGGTCAGGTACTTGTCTACCTCCCCAGATGAGGCTTTGCTCTTGGACACAACCTCCTCTAGGTCCCTCCTCTCTAATTGGAGACAAAGAGTTTGACAAGCATGTGTGGAATACTGAGATATTTGCTATCCACCCCACATGGTTGGATGCAGCACAAAGCTAAGTTTATTGTGGGCTATGCTGGCCCATAGGCTCAGGCAAAAATTTCCTGTAGACCCCATATACACAGGGTCAGGTAGCTGCCAATAATTCCCAGAGGAGACTCTGCTCTTTAACATAGGCTCATCTGGGTTCCTCTATAAAATTCCCTATAGACCCTGTAAAAATGGGGTCAGGTAACTGTCTACTACCCCAGATGAGACTCTTCCCTTTGGCACAGTCTTGTTTCAGCTCTTCTCTACCTGAAGGTAGAGAATTTGACAAGCACTTCAAGACGTGTATCCCACAGTGTATATTCCACTGTATTTATGAGGACTGGGACATAACCGTTATAGTCCATACTAGCAGTAGAGCCCAGCGTTGCCCAGGGATGTAACAGTAAGATAGATCAAGTAAACCCAGCTACTTATTCTGTAACCCTATACATCAAATGGCTCTTGGGGCTTGCACAGGTGGGAACATCATAAAGACTGAAAAATAAAATTGACAAAGATTATTGTTTAAGGTTGATGGACACACATGTCTTAATTATTTTTTTTTTGTTTTGTGTTGTTTTTTTTTTTTTTATGAATTGGTCAAACCCAAACTCAAACAAAAACATTGTTTTCAATCATTATGAGTCTACCGACTGAATAGAATTTTATTATAAACAATTGTCTGGTAAATAGAATTTTTAAAGCATTCTGAATGTAAAAATAAAGAAAAAAGTGTGCAAGACAATAAGAAACACTACCTGCCAAAATAAAAGTGAAGTTTTGTTGAAATCAGTTGAAAAATGTAGGAAATCCGATCCCATATACAAATGAACACACACACACACAAACAACCTGGGTTTTATAATAAGTATAACTTGATATAAATTGTCGCCATTTCATTCCGCAAAAGCGATGCCTCTTAATTGTGTTTTTAAATTGATTTCCTGTTTTTCCAATTTTTGGCGCTGTCAGAACCACCGCAAGGTAATTTTACGTAGTCCTGTGAAGTTTTGTTGAAATCGGTTGAAAAATGTAGGAAATCTAATCTAATATATAAACATACAGACACACACACACACACTCACACACACAACCTGGGTTTTATAATAAGTATAATGTATAGTATAACCATATAAGATGCTGGAAACATAGTTGGTTCTCTGTACTGCTCCAGTATATACATGACTCCCCTTACTGTCCTCTACTCTTACAAAAACCAGATCAGACTGGAGATTGAATCCTCCTCTATATATGGGCTGGATCTGCACAGTGTTCCCTTTCCAGTTTCGACAGAGTCCAAAAGCCTTTCCATGTCCTTATGTGGAAATGTTAACCCTGGACTTGAACAGGTTAAGATTGTAGACTGTGCAGATGAATTATTTGTCCACCCCATCTAAAACCGCTTTCCCACAGATGAAGTGTCACAGGCCTCCCACTGCTTACTGCTATTTCTAAGAAAGGTGTTCAGACAAACTACATTCCTTAGTTCCACCATTTCTAACCTTCACGGCGAGGACCCTCCATGCCACGCCCATTGTCGCAAACCACCCTTATTCCCTTCGTATTCCATTGGTTAGATGTAAGTTCGGTGCAAACAGCTTCTTCCCACAAACCCCTGCTCTATAGAACCGACTCCCAACAGAATCCTTCCCTAATCACTACAATCTTAACCTGTTCAAGTCCAAGGTTAACCATTATATTCCCCACATATGCACATAAACCCTGCTACTTATTCTGTAACCCTCTACATCAAATGGCTCTTGGGCCTTGCACAGGTGGGAACATAATTGTAAAAGTTCCTTACTGTGTGCCTCATACAAGGATCATTATTTAAAAACCCCAACAAGGGTTGTCTGTACTGTACTGATGCGGCATTCACCCTGGGCGGATTGAGCCGGCTTCTTCCTGTTATGAGAAGAAGATTCTTGGGATAAATTACAGAAGTAGGGTACCCAGGCATACTCGGATAACGTTCTTGCTTGCCACGGGGTTCCCACAGACGCAGAGACAGGAACGACCAGAAGCCGCCGGTTACCGGATGCAGACGCTCCTTGATTTTCACCAGAGCCCTTGTTAGCAAGGCGTGTGTGTCAGACCTGTCCGCCTTTGGTGGCCTCTACCAGGAACGAAGTTCCAGGCGGCATAGCTCTGACACTACCGTTTACACCCCCCACCAACTGTGAGGTAAGGGTTGGACTTACCTGCTTACCGTCAAATCACGCTTGAAACACCGGTTCTCGTCACGATCACCGGTTAAGCAGCGTGAGAGCCAGGTCAGTACTTAGATGGGGACTGCTTGGGAACACCTGGTACTGTAAGCCCCCAAAGTCCAACCAAAGTCCAAACAAGGGTTGACATGTCACAAGATCAATCATTCTAACCCAACCTTTCTACTGAGTAGTGAGTGCCCTCACTGGGTGCTCCATACGAAATTAAAAATTAAATGACCCAACATGTGTTGATATGTCATTAATAAGCTATATACATTGGATATAAATATGTCCATATCTCAAAATCCTTATTTGCTAGGAGGAATCTGAGTACAGATTTGTCCTTGATTTAAGCTAAAATGTATTCTTGCGCTCTCGTTGCAAAATCTTTTTCAATTTACAACTGGATCAATTGACCTGGAGCCATATAAATTGAAAATTAATTTTAAATAAAAAGGTTTTTCTTAATTCCTTCAGATTTTAAGATTATTATCAATTTTTTTTTTTATTTTATCGTCAATTTACATAAAAAATTCATCATTAAATGACATTTCAGTCTAACCTAACAATACTAATGAATAATGAATTTGATCCTCACTGGGTGCCACTGACAAAATTTATGCCTTATAAATTGAAAATTAATTTTAAATAAAAAGGTTTTTTTTAATTCCTTCAGATTTTAAGATTATTATCAATTTTTTTTTATTTTATCGTCAATTTACATTTGTTTCTAAATTGAAAAAAATAATGCATCGTCAATAAATTTTTGATAAAACATTAACAAAATCACGGGAACCTCAGTATGGGTTAATAGTTAATGAAGCTAGATTTGTTAACTATACTGAGTAAGGATTAAGTTTCTCACTGGGTGACTCATAGAAAATTTGAATATTAAATAATCCAGCATAGGCTCACATTCATAAAATTGACCAACCTAATCTAACATGAGTATCGTGTAGGCATTTTGATCCTCACTGGGTGGCCCATAAAAAATTCATCATTAAATGGCATTTCAGTCTAACCTAACAATACTAATGAATAATGAATTTGATCCTCACTGGGTGCCACTGACAAATTTCCGCATTAAAAAAAAAACCAAGGACATTTATAAAATCAACCAATCCAACCTAATATTACCATGGTGTAGTGAGTTTTGCTCCCCAGTGGGTGCTCTATGCTAAATTCAACATTAAATGACCCAACAACTTTTGACATATAAAATCAAGCAACTTAACCTAACATCAAAATTTTCTAAAACGTATCTTTTCACTCTCGAAACTTATAAACCGAGAATTAATCTTGAGTAAAATTTTGTGTTTTTTTACTAATTCTCTTGTCTTTGAAGATTTAAAAAAATTTTTTTTATTTTTATTTCAATATTAGTTGGTATTTAAAAAAAAAAAAATGAAAAAAAAAATAATTTACAAAGCATTAGTAACCTATTTTTAAATTTTCTTAAAAACTCATTTCACATCAAGCAAGGTAATAAAGCCACTAGGATGCAAAGGGGTTACTGAGTGTTAGAGAATATGAGAAAAACTACTGTTATTGAGAGACAACAATAAAAGAGCAAGTATTAAGAAGACAGAAGATAAAAATTGGCATAGCCTGTAAATTTTTAAAGATCAAAGTTGATTCCGAAGCAAGAAGCCAGAAGAGAGTTCCACAAGAGAGAAGTGCGATAGAAAAAATTGTTAGCACAGAACTTACAATTATATCTAGCTATTTCAACTGTAAAATGATGAGACCTAACTGCCAATGTAGGACTGCACTTACATCCATAGATTCTATTGAAGGGGAAACCTGGACACTGAGTTATGGCTAAAGAGACTAATCTTATTGACCATTGTTATGGATTAGTGGCCGCTCCATATAAAATTCGACATGGAATCCACCAATCTATGAAATCTCAAAATCCAACATTAAATTGCTCTAAAATGTTTGACATACCATAAAATCATCCATAGCTTCGACCTGAGACCTAGGAAATGTTTGCTGCAAATCGGCCTTCCTGGCCTGCGGCCATCTGGGTCAAACAGACAATGTGAAAAGGATCGGTGACATGCTGTCAGGACTCATGCAACTATGTCCACCACCCATACTCCTCTGTGACTTCTGCTCATGACTCTTCTGGAGTAGGTTGCATCTTTGCCATCAGCACCGCCAGAGGGAAGAAAAGAAATAAGGAGAGAGGATGACAATCGTGATGCAAGTGGGTGCCAACTACTGTGGAGAACTATGATTGCTCACGTCCTAAAAAGACATGGTACATAACAGAAGAAGAAGAAGAAGAAGAAATGAAAAAGAAGAAGAAAAAGAAGTAAAAGAAGAAGAAAAAGAAGCAAAAGAAGAAAAAGAAGTAAAAGAAGAAGAAAAAGAAGAAGAAACAAAGAAAAGAGGAAGCAAAAGAAGAAAAAAGAAGAAAGAAAAGAAGAAGAAAAGAAGAAAAGAAGAAGAAGAAGAAGAAGAAGAAGAAAAAGAAGAAAAAGAAAAAGCAAAAGAAGAAGAAAAAGAAGAAGAAAAAGAAAAAAAAGAAGAAGAAAAGAAGAAGCAAAAGAAGAAAAAAGAAGAAAAAGAAGAAGAAAAAGAAGAAGAAAAGAAGAAGAAAAAGAAGAAGAAGAAGAAGAAGCAAAAGATGAAGAAAAAGAAGAAGAAGTAAAAGGAGAAGAAAAAGAAGTAAAAGAAGAACAAGAAAGAGAAGAAGTAAAAAAAGAAGAAGTAAAAGAAGAAGAAAACAAAAAGGAGAAGAAGCAAAAGAAGAAAAAGAAGTAAAAGAAGAAAAGGAAAAAGAAGAAGAAAAAGAAGAAAAAGAAAAAGAAGTAAAAGAGGAAAAAGAAAAAGAAGACAAAGAAAGAGAAAAAAGAAGAAAAAAGAAGAAGCAAAAGAAGTAAGAAAAGAAGAAGAAAAGAAGAAGAAGAAAAAGAAGAAGAAAAAGAAGAAAAAGAAGAAGCAAAAGAAGAAAAAAGAAGTAAAAGAAGAAAAAGAAAAAGAAAGAGAAAAAAAGAAGAAAAAAAATTGTTCTTTGCTCTCCAGAGTTACAAAGACCTTTTTGTTTTTTGTTTTAGAGAGAATATATAAAAACTATTTAATCTCTTGAGACAAATCTGAACTTTCAAATACAATGTCTGTGATGGGATAAAACCGCTTGTAAAAATCTAGATGGACTCCTTAATGTCTATCATGAAGACCAAATTCTATTTTTCGACACTTAAATTATGGCCTGGAACATTGGATTTTACAACACTCAATGGAATTCTTCCTATTATCTCATGGCATACAAGGATTCTTTGCTTTGAGAATATTTATTCCAAAAATTGTATAATCAATAATTATAACATCAAATCGCGGAATGGGAATCGGAAACAGAATTCAGAAAATAAACACAGTAATGACGTGATTGATTTTGAACATTTTGTCTCATGATATTCTTGACGCAACAATTTTAGATCTAACAGATTATCTAACAGATAATTTGAAGAATTTCCCAAAGACCTTGTCGCTAACAACCATCTTCCTTTGTTTTATATTTATACTTTGACCAGAATTATAAAATATATTTTGCTCTCGAAAATTCAATTTTAAAAATGGCTTTGAGGAAAAAATAGATTTTGTTTTCCAATAAATTTATGAAATCAAAGAACTTGGCTTAGTACATAAAGATATGGGTTTCATTTTTATCCAAGCTGTATCGAAAGAATCTTTTGGTTCCAGAATCGAAGTAGGCATTTCTAAAGCTTATACAAGATTGTACCATTCCATAGCTTGCATAGAGTTCCTGTTTATTTAGATGATATAGAGTTTGCAAATATTTAGTTGAACTTGTCAGTAATGTATTGTAAATTTATTTTGCACTTCCCACTAGCGAAAAAAATATTGGGTGCATTATGCAAAGTATTCCACAGGTTTCATGTAAGAGACCAGAGTCTAGTCATATCTATCTATCTATCTATCTATCTATCTATCTGGGTCTGTTTATATCTATAGATCGATATCTTTATATATATTTATGATTATATCTATACATCTTTATTCATATCTTTGTTTATATCTATCTATCTATCTATCTATATTTGTTTCTATCTACCATTGTTTATATCTGTCTATTTTTATATCTATCATGATCTGTTTCTATCTATCTATCTATCTCACTCTGCTCATATCTATCTATCTCACTCTGCTCATATCTATCTATCTATCTATCTATCTATCTATCTATCTATCTATCTTTGTTTATATATATATATATATATATCTAAGATTATATCTATACATCTTTGTTTGTATCTATCTATGTATCTATCGTGGTCTGTTTATATATATTGATCTATGTATATTTATATCCATCTATCTATGATTATATCTATACATCTTTGTTTATATCTAACTTTGTTTATATCTATCTATCTATCTATCTATCTATCTTCGTTTGTTTATATCTATTGATCTATCTATCTTTGTTTATATATATATATCTTTGTATATATCTATCTTTGATTCGATCTATCTATCTATCTATCGATCTATCTTGGTATGTTTATATCTATTGATATATCTTTGTGTATATACATCTATCTATCATTATATCTATACAACTTTGTTTATATCTATCTAATTTTGTTTATATCTATCTATCTATCTATCTATCTATCTATCTATCTATCTATCTATCTATTTCAGTTTTTATCTATTAGAGTTAGATAGATAGATAGATAGATAGATAGATAGATAGGTACATTAATCTGTACATTTATATCCACGTGTCTACATTTTTTCCTTCTCAAGGGATCTAGATTACCAGCATCTATCTATCTATCTATCTATCTATCTATCTATCTATCTATCTATCTATCTATCTATAGAATATATTTTAATGAATTTTTTGTTGTAATGACAAGCAATACAAAAGACTGTCATTGTTTTATTTTTTATCTCCCTTGAAAGATTAGTGACACTTATTATTAGACGTTAATTCATAAAGACATTCATTTTGGAGGCTTGCATTATCCAGATACATAAACCGATTTCAAGTGAAAACAGAAATATATCTTTCCACTGAAAAATCAAAATTAAAAAACAAAATTAGGGTGTCAAATTCTTCTAAATAAAATTATTTAATTCTTTCTTTAAATTTCAGATGAAATTTAAGAAGACGAAAAATCTCCTTGATTGTAATTTGAAGTTTTCGTAAATTTTTTGATTAGTTTTTGGATTACATCTCTTCATAAATTATTTTGCATATTAAAATTTAGATTCGTTGGACCTATTTAAAAGAAATATAAATATTTGGCAGAATAATAGCTTCAGGCATTTATTTCCTCATAGACAGAAAACCATGGTTGCTTGATGAGTTTGGTATAGGTGTCTTTAAATTGGAAAAAAAGAAAAAATAGAATCTTTCTCTTTCTATCTATCTGAGTCTGTTCATATCTATCTATCTATCTATCTATCTATCTATCTATCTATCTATCTATCTATTTCAGTCTGTTCATATCCATCTATGTATGTATGTATCTATCTATCTATCTATCTATCTATCTATCTATTTCAGTCTGTTCATATCCATCTATGTATGTATGTATGTATGTATCTATCTATCTATCTATCTATCTATCTATCTATCTATCTATCTATCATTTTTGGCTGTATCTATCTGTGTATCTATTTCTGTCTATTCATATCTGTCTATTTCAATCTGTTCATATGTATGTATGTATGTATGTATGTATCTATCTATCTATCTATCTATCTATCTATCTATCTATCTATCTATTTTAGTCTGTTTTTATCTATCTATATATCTTTTTCTTTCTTTCTCTTTCCACCTTTCTTTCTTTCATTCTATCTTTCTGAGTCTTTTCATATCTATCAATCTATCTGCATTTGTACATATCTATCTATCTATCTATCTATCTATCTATCTATCTATCTATCTATCTATCTGTCTATTTCAGCCTGTTCATATCTATTTGACTATCTATCTCACACTGTTCATATCAATCTGTCTATCTATCTGTTCATGTCTATCTGGCTACCTGTCTGAGTCTGTCCATTTCTTTCTATCTGTCTGTCTATTTTAGTATCTATCTATCTATCTATCTATCTATCTATCTATCTATCTATCTATCTATCTATCTTGGTCTGTTTATATCTATTGATCTATATATCTTTGTTTATATATATCTATCTTTGTATATATGTCTATCTTTGATTCTATCTATCTATCTATCTATCTATCTATCTATCTATCTATCTATCTATCTTTGGCTTTTGAAAATGATTGAAATTGTTGAAAGTACTTAAACAAAAATGAACACATGAATTCTGGACACGTTATTCACAATTTCAAGCACAATACTTAACACTTAATTTGAAAATTGGAAAATATATTAAAATAAACCTGCTTTGTTGGTTCTGTTCAATCAAACATGTTTTATAAATACACATATATATATATATGGTTATTAATATGGATAAACCAATATATATATATATATATATATATATATATATATATATATATATATATATGTATATGTATTAATGTGATTAAACCAAATATTTTTTTTAATACTAAAAGTAATAATTGGTGACTGAAGAGTTGCTAGAACACTGAAACTTTAAGTTGCATTTCGAACTTAGGTATATGTATATTTATTAATATATATATATATATATATATATATATATATATATATATATATATACAAATGTAATTTCTTTTTTTGTTTTTAGATCTTCAAAACTTTGTAGGGATTCTATAACCTATTTTAGACACATTACACACATACACACACATATATATATATAAACAGAAGGAAATAAATATATATATATATATATATATATATATATTTATATATATATATATATATATATATATATATATATATATATATATATATATATATATATATATATATATATATATATATATATATATATATATAAATATAGGTAACTATACTTGTCTAAAAAAATCCTTCGAATTTTGATTTGCCAATAATCAAATCAATCTTGAAGGAAGAAAAGGTTTTTTAAAAAAAGAAAGAGCCAGGAACATGAAAGTCTGTCAAAAAAAAATCGCACAGATACAGGTTTAAAGCCCAAAGAAAAAAAAACCGACACGAGTAAACAACTAACTAAAAAGAGCTCAATACAACCGTAGAGCAGACCTAGTCAAACCTAGTGAGCTAGACAAACCTACCCAGGTTTCACCTAAGCGGGTCATCAGGGAAAGTTGGACTCTTCCATCGTATTCGAGGTATGAGGGTGAAGCAGTTCAGTTCTTAGTAAAACCGACAGCCCAGACACCTGCACATATGATTTGATTATAGTGGTGAAGGCTTTGTGCAGAACCAACCACACTTTTTGAAGAGACCTGATGCACTAAGGGCCACAAGGTACCTAAAATGACCCGCCGCAGGTTTTGTCCATTTCCTAGACCAATTGCCATCCAAGGCTATAGAACACAGTCTGTCCTGCTATTTACACATAGCTGGAACAAGAACAAGAGGTTTAATACCTTTCCCATTGATGTTAGCATGTAAGTGAATGTAATTGTTTCAGCTGGAATACAAACTCTGCTCTCTGATTCCCCAATCCAAGGTGCTATCCAATACTCCACCACTCCATCTTTTATATATATATATATATATATATATATATATACTGATTTTCTAAGTGTAGCTTAGATGTGTCACATCTAACCCAATAGCTAAAATAACTAATGTGATTTCAGGCATTACTGTAAATCAGTTGGCAAATGTTTTCCGTGAACTGCCAAATCGTATTACCCTTTGTATTGCTAATGATGGAGGACATGTGGAAACTTAAATAAAATTTCAAAAAAACCTTAAATAATATAGATTTACTTCTTTCTAATCCTTTTCACAAATTATTTCTATCGCAAATACAAATAACGTTATAAATTTTTTAAAGTGCACAAAACTTTATGGACATGCTGTATATATATATATATATATATATATATATATATATATATATATATATATATATATGTGTGTGTGTGTGTGTGTGTGTGTGTGTGTGTATCTGTGTGTTTATAGTTAGTCTAATAGAAAAGAGGATAATATCTTTTCAGTTATAGATAAAAAGTTGAAATTGGTGGTGTGATTTTATATATATATAAATATAAATATATATATATATATATATTATCTACATGTGCATGTGTGTGTACTATTAATATACAATAAATATTATTAGTCTTATAAATATTATTAGTTTGTGTTTTTGTTATCTCTTGTTATGTATATATATCTACAGATATCTGTAGATATATGCAATATCTATATATATATATATGTGTGTGTGCATATATATATATATATATATATATATATATATATACAGACACACATATATATGTATGTAGATCTTGCATATATCTACACACACTTGCACACACATGTATATCTACAGATATAGCATATATATATGTTTTGTCTACTTATTTTCAATTAGATGCTTTCATATTCATGGACAAGTTTTTGTGTCATTATTATAATATGTATCAACACAGTAATTTTCTCTCTTCCTTTAATAATGACACCAAAAATCTTGTTGGTGAATATGAAAATATCCAGTTGAAAATAAGTAGATAAAATCTGTCTAAATTATTCAATGAAACATGTCTCAGTATACATAGGTATCTGTATGCATGTGTATATATGTATGTTTTTTTCTTAAAAGTCCACCCATGAACTTTTCGGGAGATTGAAAAGTAATTGGGAAAATAAAAAAAATAGACAAAATTATCCTTCCTTAATCAGTTTAATAACAACACTAAGAAATTGATCAGTAAATTTAAGAGGATTAAAATAGAATAGACATAATATGTCTAGATCATTAAACTAAACATGCATGAATATATATATATATATATATATATATATATATATATAAAAGAAATATGTTGTAGTGGTTCCAACGAGAGAAAAGTGGTTCCAACGAGAGAAAAGTATATATATATATATATATATATATATATATATATATATATAAATAAAATGATAAATGCTTACTCTCATGTGAATTAAGCATAAAGTGTCTTTGCTCCACCAAAAATGGATTTTCCTTCAAAAAGATAAATAAATTAATGGCAGAGTTCTAATGTTCTGTATGTTTTTGTTTTTTTTATTTCATATTTCTTCTCACTATTGTTTGTTTGTTTCCTCATAAAATTCAAAATAATTGAAAAAATACATTCATTACTCAATAATCATTCACAAATAGCATGGAAGCTTTTTCTTTCATTTTTCGTACCTCCTGGCAATTACACACAAACTACTGAAGGGAAAGTTGTGAACATTACAAAATGTTTTTTTTTGCATTATTTTCGAAAACCACTATCAAATTAGATGTCAATATAATATTAACATTCTGAGAACATAAATGTTTATCTTAAAACTGAAAAAAAAAAATATTTCCAATTTAATAATAGGAAATATTCTGAAAGGTATCTTAAAAATGTACCTTATTTCTGCTTTATGGCTCTCCACAATTTCCTATCATTTGTAGGTGTTTTCTACCATCCCTACCACTTCCTGTTTTGCCAATCACTTAACCTCCTTTTATGTGTGATGTGGCTCTTCAGGATATGAGTATTCATGGCTCTCCACAACTTCCTATAATTTATAGGTATTAGTAAGGCCTTCCTTTTCTACCATTCTTCCCACTCCCTGCTATGCCAGTCATTTAACGTTCATCATGATCATTCAGAGTATTCATAACTCTCCACAACGTTTGCTTTATGACCATGAGTTCAAATCTCACCATGGTCGATTTCTGAAAAAAATTATTACCAGCAATACAATTTTGAAGGAAATATATTACCAGAAACAGATTTTTGACAAAACAAAATTTTGGCAGCAATAAAAATTTTTATCAGCAGACCATTTATTCCTCTGAATCGTGTCATTATTCAATATTTTACAAATAAACTTCAACCAAAACTTGTTCAGACATTAAAATTCCTTCCCAAAGTTGTAGTGTTAACAAGAGCAGCCATATAAAGAAGAGATTTGAGCAACTGAACAATGTTGGATACGTTAAGTACTCTTTTCAAATTTATAATGTCAACAACAGCGACTTTAAAATGAAGAGATTTGGCCATATGAACAATGTTTGACATCTGAATGAGACTTTTCAAATTTATAATGTCAACAACAGCGACTTTAAAATGAAGAGATTTGGCCATATGAACAATGTTTGACATCTGAATGAGACTTTTCAAATTTATAATGTCAACAACAGCGACTTTAAAATGAAGAGATTTGGCCATATGAACAATGTTTGACATCTAAATGAGATTTCTCAAATTTATAGTGTCAACAACAGTGACTTTAAAATGAAGAGATTTGGTCATATGAACAATGTTTGACATCTAAATGAGATTTCTCAAATTTATAGTGTCAACAACAGCGACTTTAAAATGAAGAGATTTGGTCAGATGAACAATGTTTGACATCTAAATGAGATTTCTCAAATTTATAGTGTCAACAACAGCAACTTTAAAATGAAGAGATTTGGCCATATGAACAATGTTTGACATCTGAATGAGACTTTTCAAATTTATAGTGTCAACAACAGCAACTTTGTAAAGCAGAAATTGGTGTGAGCAAACAATGCTGGATATGCTAATGACTTTTCTCAGATGTATAGTGCTAACATCAGCAACTTTAAAACGAAGAGACTTGAGCGACCGAACAATGTTGGATATGTTAAAGACTCTTCTCAAATTTATAGTGTCAACAACAGCAACATTGAAAACAACAGATTTGATCGAGCAAACAATGTTGGATATGTTAATCACTCTTCTTAGATGTATTGTGTCAATATCAAAAACTTTAAAAAGAAGATATTTGAGTGTACATACAATGTTAGTTATGTTAATGATTTTTCTATCAATTTAACAACAGCAACTTTGCTGGGAAGAGATTTGAGTGGCTGAATAATGTCAGATATGTTAATGATTCTTCTCATAGTTATAGTGTCAACAACAACAACTTTGAAAACAACAGATTTGATCGACCAAACAATGTTGGATATGTTAATGCTTCTTCTCAAATTTAAAGTGTTAACAATAGCAATTTTGTAAAGGAGATAGATAGATAGATAGATAGATAGACAGATAGATAGATAGATAGATAGATAGATAGATAGAAATAGTGACTGAGATAGATACATAGATAGATAGATAGAAAGATAGATAGATAGATATAAATAGTGACTGAGATAGATAGATAGATAGATAGATAGATAGATATGAATAATGACTAAGATAGTGTTGAAACTTGACTTAGGCATGGAATAATAATACAACACAAAATGTACTTAGAACAAAATGTATTGAAACAAGAAAGTGTACACAATATTTACATATAGTCTTTTGGTATATTCTTGGGAAGACCATTCCTGGAGAATGTGTTGACTTAGTCACAGTCGGGCAGAATCTCTGGATTGGATCTCTTGATTCCTCCTCGGTACCAACCATATTTATATGGTCGGTACTCCACTATGTAAATTAGGTGGATCCTACCACAAAAGATAGTTAGATAGATAGATAGATAGATAGATAGATAGATAGATAGATATAAATAGTGACTGAGATACATAGATAGATAGATAGATATAAATAGTGACTGAGATAGATAGATAGATAGATAGATAGATAGATAGATAGATAGATAGATAGATAGATAGATATGAATAGTGACTGAGATAGATAGATAGAAATAGTGGCTGAGATAGATAGATAGATAGATATGAATAGTGACTGAGATAGATAGATAGATAGATAGATAGATATGAATAGTGACTGAGATAGATAGATAGATAGATAGATAGATAGATATTAATAGTGACTGAGATTTGATCGACCAAACAATGTTGGATATGTTAATGTCTCTTGGATGTATCGTGTCAACATCAACAACTTTAAAAAGAAGATATTTGAGCATACATACAATGTTAGATATGATAATGTCTCTTCTCAAATCTATCGATTTAACAATAGCAACTTTGCTGAGAAGAGATTTCAGCGGCTGAATTATGTTGAATATGTTAATGACTCTTCTTAAAGTTATGGTGTCAATAACAGCAACTTCGAGAACAAAAGATTTGATCGACCAAACAATGTTGGATATGTTAACGACTCTTTTAAATTTTATGTGTTAAATATAGCAACTATAAACAATAGAGATCTGAGCATATGAACAATGTTGGATATGTTAATAAATCTTCTCAAATCTATAGATTTAACAACAGCAAATTTGTTGAGAAGAGATTTGAGCGACTGAACAATGTTGGATATGTTAATGACTCATCTCAATTTTATGTGTTAAAAATAGCAACTATAAAACATAGAGATATGAGGGACTGAACAATGTTGAATATGTTAATGACTCTTCATTAAATTGTAGACAATCCATTTAAAGTCTTAAAAAAACAGGAACATAATGTATATCAACACAGCATACAATGGTGACAAACACAGAAATTGTCATACAGGCCGACTCAGGAATTTAACATTCTTGTATAGTAGCCAATAAATGATTTTCATTCACACCAGCAAGCCTGAAATTCAACCCCTTGTAATTAGATAGATAGATAGATAGATAGATAGATAGAAATAGTGACTGAGATAGATAGATAGATAGATAGATAGATAGATAGATAGATAGATAGATAGATAGATATGAATAGTGGCTGAGACAGATAGATAGAAATAGTGGCTGAGATAGATAGATAGATAGATAGATAGATAGATAGATAGATAGATAGATAGATACAAATTGTGACTAAGATAGACAGATATGAATAGTTACTGACATAGATAGATAGATATGCATAATGACTGAGATAGATAGATAGAATAGATAGATAGATATGAATAATGACTTAGATAGATAGATAGATAGATAGATATGAATAGTGACTAAGATAGATAGATAGATAGATAGATAGATATGTATAGTGACTGAGATAGATAGATAGATAGATAGATACAAATTGTGACTAAGATAGACAGATATGAATAGTGACTGACATAGATAGATAGATAGACAGATCGATAGATATGAATAATGACTTAGATAGATAGATTGAATAGATAGATAGATAGATAGATAGATAGATAGATATGAATAATGACTTAGATAGATAGATAGATAGATAGAATGGATAGATAGCTAGATATGAATAGTGACTAAGATAGATAGATAGATAGATAGATAGATAGATAGATAGATAGATATGTATAGTGACTGAGATAGATAGAGAGATAGATAGATAGATAGATAGATAGATAGATAGATAGATAGATAGATAGAAATAGTGACTGAGATAGATAGACAGATAGATAGGCAGATCGATAGATATGAATAATGACTTAGATAGATAGATAGAATAGATAGATAGATAGATATGTGTAGTGACTAAGATAGATAGATATGTATAGTGACTGAGATAGATAGATAGATAGATAGATAGATAGATAGATAGAAATAGTAAATGAGATAGATAGATAGATATGAATAATGACTGAGATAGATAAACAGATAGATAGATAGATAGATATGAATAATGTCTTAGATAGATAGATATGAATAATGACTGAGATTTGATCGACCAAACAATGTTGAATATGTTAATGACTCTTCATTAAATTGTAGACAATCCATTTAAAGTCTTAAAAAAACAGGAACATAATGTATATCAACACAGCATACAATGGTGACAAACACAGAAATTGTCATACAGGCCGACTCAGGAATTTAACATTCTTGTATAGTAACTAATAAAAGATTTTCATTCATACCAGCAAGCCTGAAATTCAACCTATTTAATATGTTAATGACTTCTCAAAATCACGGACAATGCACTTACATTAAATATGGATCTCAATGAAGCAGACAATAGAGAGAGAGAGAGAGAGAGAGAGAGAGAGAGAGAGAGGAATAATTCTACTGACGAACTCAGTTTTCTAAATATTTTTACATTTTCATATTGCCTAGCGTGATGCAGAAATGCAAGATTTGCATAGAAAGAAAGAGAGAAATATCAAAATTTAAATATACAAAAAGAAAGAACAAAAGAAAGAAATAAAGAAAGAAAAAAGAAAGAAAGATAGATATAAAGAAAGAAAGATGGAAAGAAAGAAGGAAAGAAAGAAGGAAAGAAAAAAGGAAATAAAATTGATATAAATAAATAAAGAAAGAGAGAAATATCAAAAGATAAATATGAAGAAAGATATAAAGAAAGAAACAGAAAAAATAAAGATAGAAAGAACAAAAGAAGGAAATAAAGAAGAAAAGAAAGAAAGAAAGAAAGAAAGAAGGAAAGAAAAAAGAAAGATAGATATAAAGAAAGAAAGAAAGAAAGAAAGAAAGAGAGAAATATCAAAAGATAAATATAAATATATAAAGAAAGAAAAATAAAAAGAAATAGCGATAAATATAAAGAAAGAAAGAAGGAAAGAAAGAAAGAAAAAGAGGAAGAAAGAAAGAAAGAAAGAAAGAAAGAAAGAAAAAGAGGATGAAATAAAGAAGGAAAGAATGAAAGAAAAGAGAATGAAATAAAGAAAGAAAGAAAGAAAGAAGGAAAGAAAGAAAGAAAAACAGGATGAAAGAAAGAAAGAAAGAAAGAAAAAGAGGATGTAATAAAGAAAGAAAGAAAGAAAGAAAGAAAAGGAGAAAGAAAGAAAGAAAGAAAGAAAGAAAGAAAGAAAGAAAAAGAGGATGAAATAAGGAAGGAAAGAAAGAAAGAAAAGAGGATGAAAGAAAGAAGGAAAGAAAGAAAGAAAGAAGGAAAGAAAGAAAGAAAAACAGGAAGAAAGAAAGAAAGAAAGAAAGAAAGAAAAAGAGGATGTAATAAAGAAAGAAAGAAAGAAAGAAAGAAAAACAGGATGAAAGAAAGAAAGAAAGAAAGAAAGAAGGAAAGAAAGAAAGAAAAACAGGATGAAAGAAAGAAAGAAAGAAAGAAAGAAAAAGAGGATGTAATAAAGAAAGAAAGAAAGAAAGAAAAACAGGATGAAAGAAAGAAAGAAAGAAAGAAAGAAAGAAGGAAAGAAAGAAAGAAAAACAGGATGAAAGAAAGAAAGAAAGAAAGAAAGAAAGAAAGAAAAAAAGAGGATGTAATAAAGAAAGAAAGAAAGAAAGAAAGAAAGAAAGAAAGAAAAACAGGATGAAAGAAAGAAAGAAAGAAAGAAAGATAGAAAGAAAGAAAAAATGGATGAAAGAAAGAAAGAGAAACAGGATGTAATAAAGAAAGAAAGAAAGAAAGAAAGAAAAACAGGATGAAATAAAGAAGAAAAGAAAGAAAGAAAGAAAGAAAGAAAGAAAGAAAAAGAGAATGAAATAAAGAAGGGAAGAAAGAACGAAAGAAAGAAAATTATAAAAGGACTTAAAGAAACAGAGAAAGAACAATATATCAAAAGATATAAAGAAAGAAAGAAAGAAAGATTGAAATATAGATACAAAGGAAGATATGAAGAAAGAAAGAAAGAAAGAAAGAAAGAATATTTCCTATATTGCAGTGAACACTTGAAATCCTCCTCAAAGATAGAACGAATTGAAGGAACAGAGATGTGGCTCTACAGAATGATGCTGAGAATTCCAATTACTGTTCATGTGAGCAACAACAAAATTTTAAGGAAAACTGAAGCAAAAATGACACTTTTCTTTTTACCAATGTTCACCAGTACAAGGCCCAAGAGCCATCCAAGATTTACTTAAATGTTGGATATGTTAATAACTTCTCTCGAAATTATAAAAGAAAATTACTTTTCATTGTTTCCAATGAGCTTTCCTCTTTTGTACTTTGACTGCTGGGATATGTCTACCGAGGAATCTCTTTATATCTGTCAGGATTCTAAGCATTTAGCAAAAACTACAACAGCAACACGTCTTTTAAATGAAACACAAAAAAAGGTTATTCCCTGAAGGAAAGGTACAAGCAGAACACCAGCTGAAATAACATTTATATATTCTTTTCAGAAATATACAATGGCAGTAAAATGTTGACTTTTCCTTGCAGTGAAATTTGTTTTATCAAGTAATTAAGTGTTCTTAGTGCTGTGCGAGATGTGTGAACAGACTTACTTTATGATGTTCAGCCTAATGTGTGTGCATTCATAGACGAGGTTTTAGTTAGAGGCTGCTGGCTATCATTCTCTATTGCATGAATGTGTGTATGCATGTGTAGATCAAACTGGCCTCCCAAATTTTTTTTGAACCCTTGAGAAGCTCCACCATGTCTCCTAAAATATCAAACCTATTTACGTCTATTTCATTTCTACGCATGTGTGTGTGGCAGGCTCTTACTCACTTATGTTGGCAGAAGACCATCCTTATTGACTGTGTAGCCGTACTCACCACCCTTAGTCAACTGTGGGTTGGTGTGTCTATTTAACCCATAGCTGGAGGTTTTCAATAATGAGTTGTTCTCACAGTAGTCCGGTTGCCACACAAAGGCAATAAAACCCAAGTGGAACTGTTATTTACTGATATCTGTGAGGAGACAATTTGGATTCATAGTCTATTTGCAAATTCTTTCTTTTCTTCTGCATTTCCCGGTTCATAAACTTTGTGATCTTAATATCAGTCAGTTATGTGCCATGCATGATACATGCTTAGGTAATCATGTATCTTTCAATACATGACTGACGAGGCAGATTTTTTTCCCCACAGTAGGTTGCCATTTCTTTCTGCGGTAGACCAGTTGCAATCCAAGGTTACAGAACTCGGTCTGTCCTGCTATTTACCCATAGCTGGGGGAGGAGAAGAGGATTCATACCTTTCCCAAGTGTATTAGCATGTTAGTCAGTCAGTTATGTGCCATGCGTGCTACACGCATAGGCAATCATGTATCTTTCGATACATGACTGATGAGGCAGATTTTTTCCCGCAGTAGGTTGCCATTTCTTTCTGCGGTAGACCAGTTGCCACCCAAAGTTACAGAACCCGGTCTGTCCTGCTATTTACCCATGGCTGAAGAGAGAAGAAGAGAATTCATACCTTTCCCAAGGGCACGTCAGTCAGTTATGTACTTTGGGTGATAGACACTTAGGCGATCATGTATCTTTCAATACATGACTGACGAGGCAGATTTTTCCTGCAGTAGGTTGCTGGGGGGAGAAGAAGAGGATTCATATCTTTTTCAAAGGTATTAGCACATAAATGAATGTAATGGATTCGACTGGGATTCGAACTTGGCTCTCTAATTCCTCAATCTGCGCCACTATCCATTGCCTCTGTCACATACAGAGTGATAAAACCCAGGTCTCATAGTCAGAAAGCATACGTTATAATCACATGGGCATGTAACCATATAAATATTTTTATTGAGCAAGAACAATAGAATAGTAAATATGAAAACAATAGATAGTTATTGACAGTTTTGAAAATCAAAGTTATCATTTGTCTTCTTAATTCTTGTTCTTTTATCATTCTCTCTCCTTAATAATGTTTTTTTTTTCTCATATTCTTTTGAACACAGTAACCTCTTGCATTTGAATGATTTGCTTCGGGTGAAATGATAAAAAACCGGCAAGAGTGGCATTATCACAAAACCCTATATCAGTACTTCTAAAATTTTCGGATATGGCCGACTGACATTTCTTTTTCTCAATGTGTCCTGTACCTGTAATATTTGGGGGTAATATTAATTTATACTGGAGACGATATATATATCATGAATATAATAAAAATAGACAATTTTTTATCTTTCATTTATTTTGCAAAAAATAATTCCATATCAAAATATATAAAAAGTAATAAAAAATAAGAAACAGTTTATTAACACAAAAAACAAAAACTATATTACCTTCTTAGTATCTGTCTATATTTCTGAGATGAGGTATTATGTACACTATTTACATTATTCGGACTATTGTCCACATCTTTGTCGCCATATTTATTACAATGTTTCGGCCCTTCATTATCTGTCTATATTTCTGAGATGAGGTATTATGTACACTATTTACATTATTCGGACTATTATCCTCATCTTTGTTGCCCTATTTATTACAATGTTTCAGCCCTTCATTATCTGTCTATATTTCTGAGATGAGGTATTATGTACACTATTTACATTATTCGGACTATTGTCCTCATCTTTGTCGCCATATTTATAACAATGTTTTGCCCCTTCAGTATCTGTCTATATTTCTGAGGTGAGGTATTATGTACACTATTTACATTATTCGGACTATTATCCTCATCTTTGTTGCCCCATTTATTACAATGTTTCGGCACTTCATTATCTGTCTATATTTCTGAGATGAGGTATTATGTACACTATTTACATTATTTGGACTATTGTCCTCATCTTTGTTGCCATATTTATTACACTGTTTCGGCCCTTCATTATCTATCTATATTTCTGAGATGAAGTATTATGTACACTATTTACATTATTCGGACTATTGTCCTCATCTTTGTTGCCATATTTATTACAACGTTCCAGCCTTACAGTATCTGTCTATATTTTTGAGATGAGGTATTATGTACATTAATTACATTATTCGGACTATTGTCCTCAAGGACACATGGCACAGTGGATAAAGGCATTCGTTATATCCAGGACCCAAAGAGTGTGAGTTCAATACCTGGTTAAGGCAGTGGAGAACTTTCAGTGGGAAATTAACAGGAGATAACTTATAACTGACATCCATTAAACATGGCACATGGAACTAGAACAGTCTACCCCAGTGAGTGAAATAAAGGTTTAAGTTTGACATTCCAACCACCTGAAGAAGGCCGGAGTGTACAACGGCTGAAATGTTGTAATAAATATGGCGACAAAGATGAGGAAAATGTATATAACATTAATCTTTAAAAATGGTTCCTTAGCATGGCCTGGACACTGGCCGCGTACCGATAACTGATGGTTTGTGAACTGGTTCCAGTACACAGACTACCACTTTGAGAAGTACTGAAAATCGGTCAAACTGCTGTTTCGGTGACTATGATTGTTGTTGCAGAGATGTAACTGTAAGTTCTATGTTAACGGTTTTTTCTTTCGCACTTTTTGCTTATGGGATTCTTTTTCAGGTTCTTGCTTTTCTGTCAGCATTGATCTTCAGAAATGTAAATGCGATGTCAATCGTTATCTTCTGTGTCTTTGAATCGTGTTTTTTTTTTGTCCTCTCTTTACACGATAATGTTTTTTTTTTTTTCCTTGGATCCTTTCACTCCCAGTAACCCTTTACATCTTAATGTCTTTTTTTAGTTTTTTTTTTTTGTCAGTTTCCTTAGCGTAAAATGTTTTAAAATAGCAGGAGGAAAGAAAGATGATTATACCTTGGCTTTGATCAAAACCGCAGATCTCAACAACCAAGCCCTCAATGAAACGTACACCACTGAGACAGAGAGAGGCACACCCACAAATATAAGAATGTATTTTAAAAAAAAATTCTTGCCAGTTTCCCAGCAAGAATTTGTCCGCTAGACATCAGATCTTTAAGTTCCTTTTGGAAAAATACCAAAGCAAAAACTTAAATGTTTTTTTTTTTTTTTTTTTTTTGAATTTGATCACATTAGAATTCAAGCGCATTTTTTTTTCAACTTGAAGTTGTTAGATCTTTTTACTTCAGTTTTTTTCTTTTTTCTTATTCCTATCAACCAATATAATTTAATTTTCCTTTATTTCTGTATTTCTCCTTTGGATTTATTTTTCTTATCAGGGATCTTTTTCTTTTTTCTTTCTCTTTTCGTTTTGGAAGCTCTGATTTGGCAAAAGCTTAAAAGATATTAGCTTAAGCAAAAATAAAAAATAAAAAAAAAAATATCTCTTTGATATTTCTAAATTAAGAGCGAATGCAACAAAGTCCACATTTCTTAAATTGTTTTTATTGCCAGAGGCAAGATATCTTTATTACAAAACTCCATACTTTGTTTGCAATGAAACCGTTTGAAGATTTCAATAAATGTGTTACAAAATTTGATCTTATTAGACTCACCATTGATATTGTCATTTTGTAACTATAAAAGAGAAAATACTACAACTTCAGCTACTACAGTGTATGTGTCACCATAGAGCAATGGTTAGCAGTACCATTTAAATAGGTTGGAGGCAGCCCTCACCCAGGGCCCGTGTGTACTAACACCAAACTTCTCTGGTTTTGGGACCCCAGATAGTCCAATGTGACCCTCACAATCATATCAACATTTGTTTTTATTCTATCTACATTGATATAGTTTGGTTTGGACTGTTTTGTTTTATGGCATATTAATACCTCAATGGGTTATTTAATGCCAACAATTTTTATTAATGGTAATATTTTTCCCCTCCAAAAATCTATTTCTGGTAATATTTTCATCCAAAAAATATATAGCTGGTAATATTTTTTATTTTTTTCCTCTTCTTTTTATTTTCCCCTATTTTTTTTTTTTTTTTTTATTGCTGGTATTTTTTTTAATGTATTGCTGGTAATAATTTTTCCTTCAAAAATATATTTCTGGTAATAATTTTTACAAAGTATTTCTGGTATTAAAACCTATTTTTACACTTTCATAGTGTTTTGATCAGAGTTTGGGTGTTAACTATTTACCCATAGCTGGAACCCTAACAGGTGCTACCACTCCGGTTCAGGGTGGACCTGGGAACACCAACAATTAAGAGGTGGTTCCACATCCTCAAAAACCTCCAGATCAGAGGCCTTGCTGCTGGATGTAGTTTATCGTCTTACCCAGGACATGGATGTAGCTTATTATCATACCCAGGACGGACATTTATGTCCATCACAAAATGATCTAATCACCACTGTATATTAAAGGATGAAAAAGTTTTGCCAATTTTCACATCATTCTAGGTTCTTTTTGTTCGTCCAAATCCATGAATTTGTTTTGCTCATGCTAAGTCTTGAAATTTACTATAAAAATATTTTTTTATCCACAATCTTGAATCTGTTAAAATTATTCAACTTTTTAACAAGAAAAATCTCAAGTTGATGTTAAAAATTGCCAGAAAAACATTGTTGATTTATTCAAGATGGAATGATCTATTACGACATGTCTGTAATTTCCTCTATCGGACCTTGACTTTATGAATTTAAGCACAGTACAAGGTTGCCGGTAAGGTCTCGTCATTTTCCTGTTGAAAATGGCTAGACGCAAAAGAAAGTTCTATGCTAGCAGTTTCTTCTATCACATTTCTCATTTCTGGAACTCTTTTCTTGCTTCTTGCTTTCCAGTCAACTTTGACCTTAAAAGAAAATTTAAGGGGAAGTGTTTTAACAGATGATGGAAAATGTGGCGTCGAAATTCAAAGACGCATGCAGCACATAGAAAAAGAAGATTTATGAAAAGCAATTTCGTATTTTATCTTTAAAATTTATTTTGTCTGA